GTGAACCCCTTGACATCACGATGCCCGGCTGCGTACGTGATGTACAAACTGAGCTTTGACAGAACGAAGTCGCGATCTGCATAAAATTTTTCCGGCACGTATTCTGGATTCGTTAGAAACGCGGACATGCACATGAGGCGGTGATCACGAAATCCGCGCGCGCAGTACTGTAACATTTGGGGGCACCTGCCATTCACAATCCCCGCCACGGATGCTGTTGGAGTCGACTTTCTAAATAAGCGGATGCCTCGCGCATTGTACTCTCCAAGACCAACAGCTTCATCGGGCTTGACGATGCCACCGGATCGAAAGGGGACCCAGCGAAGCTGCCTGTAGTCATGGCAAAGACAGAAGGAGACGACAGATGCGAAGTCGCGGAAGCCCGGCAGGAAACCAAGAGTAGGACCGTAAACGGATGCGAGAAAGGCAAACCTTTCTGTACGGAGTACTTCGCGGGGTGCGCAAGATGCGATGTCACAGCGTCCATTGATAATGGCGTCGGTTATCAGTTCTTGCCTCTGCATCCGAAAACCCCAAGGGCAAAAGCGAAGGACGTCCACAAAGTCCATCATGCGACGCAAACCAAACAAACGCGACTTTCTATCTTTTTCCAGTTTTGATGTAGCACTAGCAAAAAAATGATCGATTGGCTGTGCCACGTCTCTCACTGGCTGGTCGTCAGACTCAGTGTTTTCGACGATGGGAAGAGAGTCAAGCAGAAGGAATAGAGACGACACCCACGAAAGGAGAGGCGGTGTAACCTTGACCGGGGCAACTGTAACTTCTCTCTGCTCCTCCTGCTGACACATCCGGATTTGATCTAATGCTGGCAACGTTTTATTCTGTTCTTTGAAGCCATATTCAAGCGGATCGAGATTTTTGCTATGATCTACTCCGGCTAAATCTTCGGAACTGGCAACGCCGAGGCATGAAGCTCCAGAGGCCCTGTTTCTTGGCCCATCACTTGCCAGCGATAATATCGAGGCTCTACGTCGCGCCTCCTCGACACTGTACTGATAAAACAAGTACTCTGCGTGTCGCAGCGCTTGGACGCGCAGCCATCGCTTATCAAGTGCACTCATTGGAAGAGCGTCCGACCTTGCGTCTCTTTCGCACGCCTCCTCTCTGGAGAAAACCCGGCGCGCAATCCGATGCGATAACCTGCAGCAAGCACCTATTTCAGCGAGTGCCAAACGGCGTTCGCTTTCGGTGCGTATCGGAAACCCACTGTGATCGATGATAAGGAGTATGTCGGGTCCAGGTCCAGCCGTACACTCAAGATCTAGATAGCGACCCGAAGTTGTTACAAAAGTATCAGGTTTTTCACCTCCTGTATTTTTGGCCTCCGCTGGACCGTTCGCCGCATCTATAAGATCCTCGTCACAGCACTCCGTCCACACGAGCGATTGCTCACACCCTGGAAGGGGATTTGACGACGGACCCGTCCTGGAGGACGTTGTTGTGGTGTTTGTCGGAATTCTAGAAAGTCCAGGTCTTCTGCGGTAAAATTTTATCAAGGACATTGGCGGCGGAAAAGCGGCGTCAGGCCACATGCCATTCGCCCCCTCGAGAATCGCCTGGTAAGTGCACCGCCGAAGATCGTCGAAGTTTTCAGCCGTTCGCCATTCTATATCAAAGAAGGACCCCGGAGACGCGCCTGGATCCTTGAACACAAGTGGCACCTTTACCGGGGTCAGCGAATTCTCAGGCATCACTGAAGGCTTGCCAGGTGCATAAACGGCCCCATCAGAGACATTGTCACGCAAGATGGCCACTGTTACGGAGCAACAGGGAGATTTAGATACGCTCTCCCAGTCTAGTTCGACTTCGAAATGCTCGAGGGGAAACGTTGAAGAAGCCGGCGTATAGGCGGTTTGGCCTCGCAGTGCGTCCCGTTTGCGCTCCGGATCATGGGAAGTGCGTAGTGCTTGGGAATCCTCGAAAGCCCGCTCAAAGGAATTGCACTCGGTCAGCCACTCTCGGACTTCCGTGGGAGAATGTTCTGAAAAAATGTCTGGATGGCCCAGGCATTTTTCGACTTCCTCACGAGTTATCGGCTCGGCCTGATCTTGCTCGACCCGCATCTCAACATGTAGCGGTAGCACCCCCTTGTTCGTTGCACGCGGAAAGGCGTACTGGCTTTCGAATGGCGCATGCTGCAAGCAAAGCCGCACAAAAAACGGATCGGATCGCGCAAATCGCGGAAAAAAACGGAGAACGGGGCCAGATTCTGCAGCGTGATAAGCAAAGTGCTTTGAACTTAGTATTCTGTCAGATGCCACGTAGACCAGACGTGGATGATGCTTCGCGAGCTGGAACATAAGACTCATGTCATTCAGCAGAGCGAATGGAGCAACCAACATCCGATCTGCACTTCGCCACGAGTACCTTTTGATAAGTTTTGGCATGACATGGCACAAGTCTCGGTATATAAGTGTCAAATGAAGGCAAATGATGGAAAATAACATTTTAGTCCAAAGAGTGTAAAGCATTGATTTAACATGGTAGCTCTTGAAGTTGGCCACCTTATTTGCTCCTGGTTCCTAATGGTGTTGTTTTGGAAAAGGAAAAGGACGAACACAGAAGATGGAATATACTCTACATGCTGGAGGTGTAGGGGAATCCTACGGGTTGAAATGGTTAGTGAACGGAGTGAGCTGTAGAGTTAAATAATCAGTCTACACCGGCAAACACAAAACAAAAACTGATGATGGAAAATAAAAAATACCAACAAGTTGTATCCTTGAAATTTTTTCACCTATCCAAACTCAATATCTTTGAATGCGATATCAAAGTCTACTCGTCCTGGGCCCCGTACTCATTATCAGCTACAATGAGAACGCCAGTCGTATTCATCTACAACCAATTATACATTTCGATTTAGTAAATTTGATCCCCCAAAAGAAAAAGGGGCATCGATTTACCAAATCAATAAGACGATCGACTACGAAGCAAAGCAAGAACGAGAGGCTTGCGTAAGCGTAATAGTACACTTGTGTTCCGAGTGACAATTGCGGTGGTGGCGCAATCTGATCCACACACCAAGGATCCGGCTCAATGTATTGGTTTCCCCAACGCACATTTGGAGAATCGCCTGGTGCACTAATTCGGCCGCATCCTCGAAGGACGAACTGCGCCAATCGTTTTTCGGAGGGTTCAACTAGTGAGTTTTTCTCGCGGAGGAGAAGAAACTCCGGTTCGTGATCAAGCATCTCCGTGCCGCGTGGATCCTTCATGGGATATTTTCTGAAAATGATGTCGCAGAAGAACGCAAGCTCGTCTAAGCGCGCAGTCCTGTGCTCCAAAGCGCTTCGGCATCTGTCAACTTCAAGTGCGCTTCTACTTGCACAAGAGACATAGTCTTGAATGTACTCGAAAAATCCGCAGTCGTGGTCCAACCATCTTTCCAATACGCTTTCAGAAACACACTCATCCACCCAGTCAGAAGTGCAGAACGGAGAAAAATATGTGATTGAGCGCAGCGCGGGCGGCAAATGTACGCCGCCTAAACCCGCATCTTCACAAATGTCTACGACAAGGTGCACCGTCGTCGCTATAATTTCAGCTTGATGATCCGCAACGTGCTCTGGCATATACCGCAACGTTCGCGAAAAGCCGTTATTTGGGTCATCGGTTCCGCACCACAACAAGAGGTCTTGCGAGCACTCCTGAGTGCAGCTGCTACCTTCACGATCATCATCGCCAGTATTAAAGAAGCTCAAGGAGTCAACCGCTCGGCGATCCAAAGATATCCGCATACACGACACAGGCAGAGCCGCGTTGTACGGAAAGATCCGGCGCAGGCTCATATGAATTTCTCGGGCGATCTTCCTGCCACTGCACTTGAACTGCATCTGTCGTACGCCTTCTTCTTCAGATGCATGATGACTGAAGTGAACTAGCGTTTCGAATTTCCGCCTTTTGTATAATACCTGCTCAGGATGTGCTGCCTCAGCAAGAGTTGATACTTCTGTTGTAGATACACTTTCACGACTAAAAGTGTCCTTCACGCCACTCACGCCTGGCCAGTTATGTTTCTGCGGCAGGGGCAGCGCACGCCCGTCAACCGAAAACACACAATTTACTGGCAACATTTTAGCTACTTCTGCATGTGACCTTTCAATATATGACGCGGAAAAGAATGAAGAGAACGAAGTAAACAAGGTGCTCTAACCAAAACCAAACTTAGCTACGCCTTAGCTGTATCTTCATGTTTGAACTTCAAAACAACGAGTCACTCGCACAAAAGAAGAAATTATATATACAAAGTATCAAAAAGTCAATACGATCATGGAAATACTTTCTTACTTTTCATGAAGAAAATAATTGGAGAGAGAAGTTTCTTTTCTGTTCTACAACTACAAGCTACTCAATAAAGGTCTCAAAGCACCAAACCTATTATATACGGCTCTCGTAAAAACTCGTCAGCAGTGACGCTGTTTTGATTTGTTCGACAAATGCAAGCTATCCAACAATCTTCAATGACTCAATCATCTTGACCATTGGACTACCGATGAACTCAAGTGAAGATCTACTTTTTGAAATAAGGGTCATGATACATTTATATATTTATAATATATGGGGCATCTATGGATCCATTGATCTGTGTTTAGTGTTCGCTCGAAATAAGTAGCACGCTTCTCTCGCACAGAATCCGGGACTGTATTCCTGTTGCTTGCACCTCCGCAAAACTGGGATCTAATCTTTGGATCAGAGAGGATCTTTTCCTTTCACTTTTTCCTCGCTGGTCTTGTACTAGGTCCACTGGACGAGTATCTACTTTCGCTCACGTATTTCGCTCTCAGTGCGTGGGACCCACGTTCAGCGCCTCAACCGGTGACGCCTGGTGAGTCGAGATCGGGATAAAGCAAACACCTGCATCAAAGAATCACACTGACCCGGTCGGTCGTTGGGAGCAGTCATTGATTCCTTGACCATCTGACCAGCACTAGAGCTAGGCATTTTCTTTGTAAGACTTACATAAGAGAGTATTTACATTGGAAAGAGGAAAGAAAAAAATTGAGTCTTTAGAAGAAACTAGCCGTAGCTTGCTTCACCCACAGGCGCTCGCTTCAAGGAGGGGCAGCGACGATGCAAATCCAGCATCGCTCACCTGCACATAGGATTGATGGGAAGTTGAACAGTACGTCGTTACTGATTAGTTTAAATTACTCGAACCCTCGTCTTGTAAGAAGACACCGACTGTCGTGAAGAGCCGTTGGGAGTTGGGTATATTCAGCTGTTCCCTGCTGGACCTTTGGAAATAAGGTACTGCAGAAGCAACGAGAGACGAATCTTCAAATTGTGTACTTTTATGTTTCTTCTCCTAGATAGTGTCTCCCGATTAATACGCACATATATCGTCGTTCCGTTTGTAGATACTTACTTAGGATACATAAACATTCATTCACAAGTTGCGCTGGTACAATTTCAATATCTGCTCAGTTTCTTCTGAACCAGCCGAGTGGGCTTGGGGAGACGACCGCAAAAGCTACAAGAAGGACCAGCACTGCCGAAAAGATAATGAAAATTGACGTGCGGCTGCTGCTCTTCAACGTCACAGGGAACTGGAGTGCGAGTGAGGTAGCTGGCCCATCAACTTTCGGGATCGTTCTTGAGCTTCCTTGATTTCTGAACCGACTAAGCTGACGCTGCATTGAAGGGCCCTTGGGCAGAAAAAAGCCACCCAAGAGCTTGTGCCTAGATACTCTGTCGCGCTTCTTGGGTAAAAGCACCATCTTGGCTGGCGTGTCTCACCTAACAACTTCACGTAAGCACTTTGCGAATGTGCGACCACGGTACTTCAACGCCAAGGCAAAGCAGTCCTCGCCTTGATTGTTTCGCGCGGTAATGTCACAGCCTTGCTGCTGCAAAAGCGCCCAGACTTCTTTGAGCGACCTCGTGTACACCTTTCTCTTCGGTGAGGACATGCTTGTGTCCATATTCAAAAAATAGTCGTAGGGTTGCGGTTTGAGCAGCACGTCCGGCCGTGCGGACCTGGGGTAGAAACCGTCAAAAATTCGCCGAAACCTTCGGTTTATTGCGTCCACCCTTTCTGACCAAACAGGCGCATTTGCTTCATGCATGAGCAAGAGAAATGCTGTGTTGCCGGTTGCCGGGTCTCTTCGGTTCACCTCGACGCTAGGGCAGCATTCCAAAACTTCACAAAAAGCAGCATAGTGCACGTTTCGGCCCGCATACATCAATGCTGAGCGCCCAAGATTATCAACTGCGTTCACTTCTGCCGCGGTCATCTCGTCCAGCAACAGGCGGGCAGCGTCCCTGAAGAACAGCCCTTTCGCTGCGCAGCATACGAGGTGTAATGGCGATCGCCCGAATGCGTCGCGCTGACCCAACAGCAATTGCTTACTGAATCCCGAAAGGGAAAGTCCGTCTGAATTGCGAAGCTCCTCTGTCGTGCGCCCTGCGACGGAGTTACCATGTTCGACTTGTGTTTTGCGCGGAAACAATTTGCTTCTGTCGTAGCATGCCATGAGAAAAGACAATACGACGTCCCTGTCGCCGAGCTGGCACGAGAGTTGAAAGGCAGTGATTTTCTGCAAATATTCGAAGAAGACGGAATCAATCACCTTTTCCTCATCATGTGCTGCGTCCTTAACTGCGCTGAGGGGTATCGCCGCAAGATCGGTATGGAGAGAAAAACTGTGCTCATTCTCAAAATCGAGACTAAAAAATTTTTTTATGTTGAGAATTCACCGCTTGGCTGGCAAGCCACAACGAGGGCCGAACGCCAGACGTATAGCAAGGGCACAGACATGGCGCGCGAACCCCAAAGAAAAGCCAACCAAAAGCAAAACCACCAAAAGCGACACAAACCAACCCAAGAATCAGACGCCAGAGACCCGCCGTCTGCACTCTGGCACCAAGGGAGCGGCACGCGGCTCCTGGTAGCAATCCACCAAAGCAGCGAAAAATAGGCACCAACACCCGGCGAAACGGGGGCAGCCGCAGGAGTGGGCGCCGCGCTGCGGACCGTGAAGGCACTCAGCCAGAGAGCCAGCAGCCGCCGCCGCCTGGCAGCTCTCGGGGCCTTTCAGCAGATTCGCCCAAGAGCTGCGCCAAGGGTATCGGGCCCGACTGGAGCACACACCGGGCGACGGATTCGAGTGCTGGAGAGGCTCGGGGGGTGAATTAAATTGCATCTTTCTCTAAACATCCGCGCCGCAGGTGTGTCCCAACCCTCAAAATTCAAAGGTTGAGAAAAAAATTAAAGAGCTAAATTAAAAAACAACAACGACCCCGCCAAACTCTCACTCCCACTCTCCCACTTCCAAGCCCTCACCCTTTCACATTTGAACCCATGAAGTCACGAACTCACGAACTCACAAACCCACAAACTTACGAACTCGCAAACTTCTAAGCTTATGAACTTCTAAACTTATGAACTTCTAAACCTATGAACCTTTAGACCTATGAACCTCTAAACAAACTTACGAACTTCTAAACTTATGAACTTCGAAACTTATGAACGTCATAACTTATTAGACCAAGCCCTTTCTCGTTGCACCACGTGGGCCTTTTTTTAAATTTTGCTAGCCTGACAAGGGACCGCTGGGGCCATCCCGATAGCTTGGCAGTGAGCCCTCGGAGCGGGGCTCCGCTTCCAAGGATCGCGAAGCGTGGACCCTAAAAGCGCCCCCAGAGGAGCCCCAACCCGTGGGAGGCTCAGTTCGGAGGTGCTTTGGAGGGGTGTCAAAAAGGGGGGCAAAGAGGCCCCACTTTGAAGACACCCCAAACGGCCCGGGCCATTTGGCGACCATTTTGGACCAAAAAAGGTCGCCTTAAGCTTATGAACTTCTAAACTTATGAACTTCTAAACTTATGAACTTCTAAACTTATGAACCTTTAAAACTTATGCACTTCTAAGCTTATGAACTTCTAGACTTATGAACTTCTAACATTATGCACTTCTAAAATTAAGAACTTCTATACCTATGCGCTTCGTTCTAAACTTATGAACTTACAAACTCAAGAACTTATGAGCTTATGGGCTAACTTATGAACTTACGATCTTGGAAACTTATGGGCTTACGACTTTACGAATTTGCAAAATTATGAGTTTATAAATTTATGGGCTTGCGAATCACATCCAAGAACTTGCGTCTCTTGCTAAAATGAATCAAACACTTTGGGACTTGAGGAAAGCAAATCCAAAGCGTTGGGCCGACACTCATAAACTTATAAACTTGCGCACTTCTAAGCTTGCTTCTGAGCTTATGGGCTTGCGAATCAAATCCAAGCAATTGAACTCCAAGAAATTGAGCCCCGGCTTTAACTTAAAGTCAAAGGCTTGGAGATTTGAGAAATTCAAACCCAAGAGATTGCGCCTACACTTATGAACCTACGGGATTGCGGCTTTATAAACTTGCGCGCTGACTTCTAAGCTTATGGGCTTGCGAATCAAATCCAAGAGCCTGAACCTCGGCAAAGCTTGAGCTTATTAAAATCAAAAGTTTTGGGATTTGAGGAATTCAAACCCAAGAGATCGGGCCTACGAATAAAATCCAAGAGCTTGAATCCCCGAGAAGCTCCCTAATCTAATGCCGTAAGCTTTTAGATTTGAGAAATTCACGTCCAAGATATATATTGGGCCTCGGGGTAACTTGTTAAAGTCGAAAACTTTCGGACTTGAGCAATTCAAATCCAAGAGATTGAATCTCAGGCAAGCTTAGTTAGTGCCCCGCCGGTTACTTCGGGAGGAGGAGAATCCTACAGCGAGGGGGTGTTTTCGGGCTCTCCAGGCTAGTAAAGACGCAGCCTAGTTCGTACATAGGCGGAATCCAGTGGGAAAAGGCTCGCGAAGCCTGTCCAGATTTGCACGCGCTGGAGCCTTCCCAAATCTGGACCGCTCTCGGGAGCTTCCTCGCACTAGGCTCCTGCTATCTTTGAATTAAAATGAGCAATCTTCTCAGCGTCTGGATCTGAGGGGCTGAGCCACACCCCAGACGCAGGCGTTGAGAAAAGTATGCAATTAAATTCAAACCGCTTGAGAAGGTACAACAACACACGCACACCAAGTCCCCAAGAGGGTCGCGCAGCGTCACCGCTGTGCGCCGCCCTCGGAGAGGTGCTGTCTGCGTGGCGATTGGCTACTCCAGGAGAGGGCCCTGCTTCTCTTCGTATAGCATTGCTACGAGCTGTCTGGCGTGTGCCTCGTCACCAGCGACGCACTCACATGAGCACCGGCACCCGCCACGGGTGTGACTCCCAAGGGCAGCAAGGTGATGGCGCGGCGCCAGAGCCGCAGGAAGTGAGCGCCTGGCGCCCTTGTTCCTGGGCTGGCTTGTGTCGCTTTGGGTGGCTTTGTTTGACCTCTCTCCTGGGTTTCCCGTGCCACGCCTGTCCTCTCGCCGTATGGATTGCGCCCGGCGCCGGTTGTGAGTGGCCAGCCAAGCGGCGAAATCTCAACACACGAAAAGTTTTTGAGTCTCATTTCCGAGAATGAGTACAGATTTTTCTTCCATAATCGGACTCGTTGTTGCACTGAGAGACACTGCTTTCTCTGTCAATGTCGGCGGGAATCTCTTCAAATAGCTTTTTTGTGAGATCTCGTGGAGCAAGCAACGGTGGCGCAACGCAATACACATCGTGCTGCAGTCCCAGTAGCAGGGAGACCATATGGGGATTTCGGTATATCACAGCTAGCTCTAAAGGACTAAGTCCACTTTTGTCAGAACTTTGTGTAGCCAGATGCTGTCCTATAGAGAATGCTTCCACTTTTGCGAAATCTTCATGTAAAAACAGAACACGAGAAACTCCATCGCGTGCATGATCCGAGGTTACAGTCGAGAGCACTCCTTCAGTCTCTTTTTCGCTTATCGTAAGCCGAGGATCGGAAAAAGCTGGGCACTGCCGTATTATCTGTAGAAGAGGTGACAAATTGAGCGATCTTCCGTAGCATCGTGCTGCTTGCTCTGCATCACACTTACGCGGAAGAAATATATCAGCAACACGATCCATTACGGAGCTGTTGCAGAAGGTAGCGAAATCTGCAAACAACGCGCTGTGGCTATTCCCCTTCAAACATGCTGGCGCTCCGAAGTCCCACGGAAGATCTTGAATTACTGAATACAAATGGCCCTTCGTGCATTGGTTAATAAGGTTATACTGTGTAGCCACCATCATGAGCATTTTGAGCAAAGGTAATGACGAACCCTCCAGCTCAATGGACAGCAGTATCTTTTCTTGGCAATTTCCGCTGAAGAGATCAGCATGAAATGAGGGGCTTCTCGCTCTTCGTTCGACATATCTCGCGATGTCTTCCAATATTGCGCCGAGATCAACTTCTTCTAGCCTTTCTGAGGGCGGCCTCAGTCCTCCCTCAGCTAGGGAATATACGTTGTCCAGCAAATCCAGCTCAAGAGAAAGCCATCGCTGCTGCTCTTCAGGTGCGACCCTCCGATCAGCAATGCTCCGGCTCCAGGTTGTTCTTAGAGATCTCCACGGAAAGCCCCGTCCACGAGTAAACTCCAACCTGTGGTGCAGATGAAAATATTATACAGTGGACACAGAAATACATGTCAAAAACGAAACCTAGTTTCACAGTTCATCCTCAGAGGATTGCTTCAGCAACAAATACCCTGCATGATAAGGGAGAGGCCCGACTCGATGAAAACAAATTAAGCGATCCCCTGTAAAGTGTTCGCGGGTTGGTTGGACGCCATCGCCATGGCCGAATGTAACAGGACCCTCTGACAGGACGGAAGATGCTTATTGATTATTCACCAAAGATGTCTGATATTGTATCTACCCGAGCCACTCCTGCTGCTTCTCCACACAAGGCCGCTGTTTCTTTGGAGCTTTCGGGTCGGCAACCTGTGAATCCCCCGCAGAATCTGAATAAATCGCCTTTTCGTGTTTTGGCACAACCTTATTTGCGTCTGCGGTGGCACGAAGCTTCTTCACGTTGTGTCCTGTATCCTCGCTGAGGCGGCTCTCCTCATTCGTGCCACGAATATATATGACGGCAGTAAAATAATACTCAAGTTGTGAAGAAGACGAGCCAGGCCTGCCATCCAAAAGAACTGGTTTGGAAAATGAAGGCACGACCCGCTCCGCCTTCAGGTTTAAGCGGCGCTCGAAACTTTGAAGCATTTTGTCCTGGAGCGCAACAGCCCAACAATTCTGGTCGTCAACCGGAACGTCTACGAACCTACCCGAACCCGTTTCTCCTGGCGACGGTGGAAAAAAAAGCCGAATACGAGAAGCATTAGTTTTTTCCCAAGGCAGACTAAGCGCAACTGTCTGCGACATCGACATGGCCTCGCCAACAGACTTCTCAGGAGCAGCACCGAACTCACCAGCGGGCTTTCGATTTGCGCCCGTCTCAGCAGGCGACCCATTCGAAAAAGAGCCCTCTGTAGGAAATGCGGCATTCACCAAGACGCCTACGTTACTGGCTAAAGCCCCGTGTTCTTTAGCGATGAGCGCGAGAAAGCGACTCGATGGCACACAATGCTGATCAAGAAAATGTGCCGTCTCGGGGTCTGCGACCAACTTTGAAAACACGAGGCGCCCCAGCTCAGAAATTGTCGCATACGCGAAGGCGTGTCCTCCTGGAAACCCTACCGGCGCACTATCATCAAATCCCGTCCAGTTAAGATCGCCGTCGGAAACACCAAGCTCTTCGGCGATGACGCGCCCGACCTCCGCACCTGGATTCTCGCGAAATCCATATTGATAACTCTGACGGCCAATGCTGAGAGCAATGAGCTCTTTTAGTTCCACTCGGATGCTGGTAGTAATCCTTCCATCACCACGACGAGATGCGTCGGCCGACTTTCCTCCTTGTCCATGCGGCCCATGGCTATTCACGAATAATTGGAAATCCATGTTGATACTGCAAAACCAAATGCACAAATAAAGAGAAATCTCATGTGGTCGATGCTTCTGTCCTTCAGTCATAGAAAAAGAGAAGAGTCGAGAACATGTTATGGTGATGATGGCACGACTACTTCAGCGTCGCGCACCCAAAAAGTTATCGCTCCACAGTTGTCTCGTCGAATGGAAATCAGGTATAACTTTACCAAATCCATCAATGTCCTTTCCGCCAATTTAAAAAAGCCAGTAAAAAAACCGCAAGATCAACAAGATTGAAAAATATATCGGCGAGAAATATGAATATACTTTCTGTTCTAATATGACATCAATGACTTTCGTGAAATTCACACACGCGATAAAAGACAAACTAACGAGTTGTAGTCCCGGTGAGAAAGCGTATGAAACATCCAAAAGATATTGACTATGCATGCTAGGACTTCCCGAAGAAATTATTTAAAAAAACTCAACCTGGAGCAGTTATTTTGATTTTTAGTGAGGCCAAAGCCGACGGGTCCAGGGTACTCTAGTCTGGCTGTCACGGAAGGCGACTTCGCGGTGTCCGCTCATCATCCTAAGCAAGACCCCGTGAGGTGGGACGAGTTGTTGCGTATCTACTTGGCTGAAAAAGCTACCACAACGTACAGTCCACGACAAAATACAATAAACTTCTCTATAGAAAAAGAGATGAGTGGATCACAGAACGGTAAAAAGAACCATTCCAGCAAGTCGTGAAGCGAAGGATCTCATCAGTGAGTCATCACCGGTCAACATCAATCGAAGAACAGTCATATAATCCCATACTATTTAAGATGAATCTGGTAAATCTAAATTTTCTGATCCAATCTCGTCGTATGATCTCCAAGCGTATCCAGTATTACGAATGCAAACAAAATCAAATAATAAAGCAATGATATTCTATGAAAATACACTTGCGTCCCATTATGTACACCTGTCGCTGGTGTTAGTTGATCCCGAAGCCACTTGTCTGGTTCAATGTTGTTATAGCGCAGTAAGAGTTCGTCCTTCCAAATGCGGCCGCATCCGCGAAGCACGAATTGCACAAGGCGGTTCTCTTCAGACACACTAATCATGAACTCTTGTGTCCTCTCACAAAACAACACCTCAGGCTCATGTTCAAGCATCATCGGTCCGCATGGGTCTGCTAATGGAAGTTTCGAAAAAGTGTCACACCAAAACGCAAGTTCATCCAAACTTTGCGTCTCGAACTCCAGAGCTGATCTGCATTCGGCGTCTGCAGATAATATTGTTCTACTTGCATCGTCGACGAGGTTCTGTAGGTCCTCTAAACACCTGTCGTTGATATTGTCATCCGTGCAACCCAGGAGGTCGTGAGGAGCTGCACCGGCTTCCACCGAAGATAAGTCTCTGAAGAGGCGCACCTCGCCCGTACTAGCAGCAGAAACATCCCGGAGAGTTGCCGCTTCACAGATAGTCACACTTAGGTAGGAAGCTTCGTTTGGAAACCGGCCGAACAAAGGAGAATCGACGAGAATCCGTTTACTCCCGTGGCACCGCACCAGAGCAGGAAGGCACCCGCTGCGTTTTTATCCTCCAAAACAGTGGTATCTTCAATCTCGTCCCGATCACTCACAACTGAGAAATACGAGGCGTCGCTGTCGTTTCGCTTAGCATCCAGCGAAACCCGCATGCAAGACACTGGCAAGGCAGAGTTATATGGAAAGAGCTCTCGCAGTCGCAGATGAACATTACGTGCGATCTCTCGGCCGCACATAGAGTTGCTGTTCTTTCTGTTCTTCAATAACGGAAGCACCACGCTGCACTTAACATTTTGACAGGGAGAGCTTGGTTCGCATGACGGCGTCGAATTAGGCAGTACGCCTTCCGATATACGTTCACCTCCTCGATTATCGCATGGCGGCAGGGTGCACCTTTGTAATTCATCGGAGTGCGTTCCTTGATCTACAGAGGATGCGTTAGTTTTACGCGTCTTTTCGTACTCGCGCCTTTTGACCCAAAAAGGCATCGCACTCGGCTCCACCGACAACACACAGTCGACTAAAACAAACATCACGTTCAGCCATGATCCTTTGCAATATCCGCAGCTTGAGAAGAACAAGCAGAAGCACCAAAATCAAGCGACAATATGAATACAATATCCCAAAGCATTTTCAAGTAATTGTATTTCGATTCAAATCAGTCAAAAAATTACAATACATAGGAAAACAACGGTTCTCAGAAGCAACGCGAACGAATATGAATCTTCGAACAGACAGAAGAACAGTGTCAATGGCGAACTAATAAATAGTATACGATAGGAATGTGATCATGAATAGTTGGAAAGAGAGGCTATTTTTGCTCTACAAGCTACTAAAAGATGTCAAAAGCACTAAACGTTTAAGGCACTCGCAAACAATCGTACAAGACACTGTGTTTATTTGTTCGACAAAACAAGCTATCACGCAATCGATATTAAATCAACAATGTTATCTTGACTGGCTTACCAGCAAAGCGAAGCGAAAAACTGAGGGACAGGGGGTTCCACAGTTCACGTGAAGATTTCTTTTGAAATAAGGGCGATGCATGAGGCGGCTAAGGATCCATTGATCTGTCCAGACTATTTTAGAAATTCTTGTCTTCATTTGATCTGCCACCTGTTATCCTCGTGGTCGTATTAAGAGTGTGCATCTACATCTTTACCTTTGTTTTACATCTGTTTTAAGATGATACAATTTGTTGGACCACAAGAGATACGCAGATATCTTTTAATTGGTGCGGGTGCTTTCCCTCGTCGAAAATACTCATTTTCTCGCAATGTCAAGCCACCCTCATCAAGCAGGAAACAACTCTCATCTTCAGACTAACCGATATGTGCAGCAGCAGAAGGTATACAAGTACAGTGGAGCAGAGATTATACCGATTCATACTACAGACACAAACTTCATTGGCAACGATGGATCATCCTTTTGCTGGTGCCTCACTGCTGAGAAGCCAGGAGTAAGAAAACGAGGTCACTTTTTTAGTTTCATAATCAAGGAGCACGGAAAAGCTTTCCCTATGTATTAAGAGGTGTAACGGAGGGTCAATATCATTTCAGTCGCGAAGATGAAAAGCATCACATCAGAATCATCATTTTCATTTTTATACAACATCCAAGTTATGCCATGTATTTGCGCCTAATAATGCTACTGGATGATGAGAAAAGAGAAATAACAATGCTGGGCGCAATCACTCGCGCCCGACTCGACTTTATCAGGGACGGCCTTCTCCCGTAACAGCCATGACCGGTATGACAGCCGAGCATGTTGTTTTATTGCGATGCCTGCATAGATAGGAAAGGGCGGTAAAAAGGGTTACGTATTGTTCGTAGTCGAACGAGAGCGACATCAACATTTCTAGTTTCACCCTCGACGGCAACTGCAATGATGCCGTACGCCAATCACGTATAATAAACGCCAGCTTTGGAGGATGTAATTTCACGCCACGTTTAATTTTCTGCACACGAACCAAACGAATGTGCATCCGTGTAGTCTGCGTCACTATCCGCGTCACTGCCCGCGTGATTTTCTGCCTCATCATGACTGGTTGTTTTATATTTCGGTGTCGCGTTGCTATCCGAGCCGCTTATTGTCACGTCACTGGCCCGCTCTCCATCGATGGAATCAACCAGCTCGCGAGGCGGGTCACAGCAGTACCTCACAACTCCTGTTGCGTGCCAACTCGGCGTGCAGTGATCCATGGCCGAGGGCCCCCCAGCCGCCTCAACTTCTGCACGTTCCCTAGCAGCTTTTTCCACCCCAGCTACAACCTCTTCATCATCACCGAAGTTTTCTATAATTTTCGCTTGCGCATCGTGTGAAAACGTGAAGTCCTTAACAGCTCCCTGCCCATGTGCAAACATTACGTAGAAGCTTAGCTGTTTCAGCACGAAGTCCCGATCTCTATGATATTTCTCGGGTACATCTTCTGGGTTCATCAGGAACGCGGTTCTGCAAAAAACTGCGACATTACGCAACTTAAGCGAGCAGGATGGTAACCATCTTGGCGATTCCCAATTGACGATTTCGCACAGGAGAGCGTCTGGCGTAACACCCCGCATCAGACGCAGTCCCCGAGCGTTGTATTCCCCCAGCTCTGCCTCTCTGTTTTTTACATGCCCCCCTGACTTGAACGGCACCCAACGAACCTGTCCGCGGTCATGGGCGAGACAGAAGGATATGACAGGAGCGAAGTCCCGAAAATCGGGAAGAAAACCTAAAACAGGCCCATACGCGGACGCAAGGAATGCGAAGCGTTCGCTACTGCGAATTTTCCGGGATGCGCACACGGTAAGATCCCATCGACCATGGGATATGGCATCCGTCAAAAGCTCGTGGTGTTGCGTTCTGAAACTGAGGGGACAAAATCGGAGAACGTCGGCATATGCAAGAGAACGGGTAACACGATTCTTGGGTTCGCATCCACTTTCGAATAGCGACGATCTTTCGCCCTCTCGCGAGTCTACAGTATCATTATCCTCTATCACCTGGAAAAGAGACAAAACCCAGAAAAGCAGGCTGAATTGGTCATCTTCAGAACCAGCGCTCCCCGCACTCATGCCTTGAAGGCGTGGCTGCATGCGCGCAGAGGTATTCTCTAAGCCAGTTAAGAGGCTCGACATGCCGTGGGCCCCACCCTCAACTCCAAATCCGAAATCATGATCATGCGAGGTTTTGCTATGCTGTTTTACGGTGGTAGACCACATCTCTCGACCTCTGGCTTCTTCGCTTGCAAGCTGATAAAAACGAAGAGCAGCACGTCGCAACGAAGCAGTGCGCAATTTCTTTGCTTCACTTTCTTTTTCGCACGTAGAAGAGCTAACACGTCGTTCCCCTTTCATCGGAAGCGCTCCGCAACCTTCGTCGCCAGCGACGCTTTGGGTGAAAATCCTGTACGCGATCCTGCACAGCGATCCAATTTCTCTTAATGCCTTGCATCGCTCATCCGGTGATCTTTGGACACGACAGTCTTGGTGATCTATAAGCAGAAGAATGTCTCCTGGTGATCCTTGCGATTGTGAATTCACGATTGCGCCACTAGCGTCTAGAAGACTAGTCCAAGAAACATCCGCGGCTCCTTCGCTCGCCCGCATCACGATAGGGTCAGATCCCTGGCACTGTGTCCAGCACAGTGCCCTATCATTTTCACCAAATCGGTTTCCAGTACTGTCGGCCATTGGAACAGGCTGCTCCATCAGAGGCTGTGTACTTTCCTCTGGCACTCGGGTTAGGCGCCAAAACTGGATAAGAGAAATGGGAGGGGGAAACGCGTCGTTCGGCCAAGCACCACCGACACCATCGAGGATCGCCTGATGGACACAGCGACGTAAATCATCGAAAGTCCTGGCCGAGCGCCACTGTATATCCCAGATAGATTGCGTGGACTCCCCAGGGTTCTTGAACCTCGTTGGGACATGTATGAGCAAGTGACCTGAGGCCGGGAAGGGTTCGGGAAGTGAAGATCGCCCATCAGGACTGTATTTCACCCCCAAACTAATATTATCTCTTACGATGGTGAGTGTCTGGTAGCACTCTGCATGCGACACAGAGTCCCAGTCGAGCTCGATTTCAAGATGCTCAAGCGGAAAAATAGAAGTCGAATGCCAGTGTTCATCCCCACAAGATTTCGCTTTTTTCAGGAGTTCTTGCGCACGGTTTGAGTTTGTATTCGGTGACTCCTCTGTATCTTCAAATGATACCATAGAGGAATCCAATCGCTTTTCCAACAATGCCTGGCTGCTTATGGCTAATTTACAATTGGCCAGCGCTGGTGGAAGTAAGTCTGCGCTTTGTCCCAAAGTTGACTGCTGCACAACATCCCGCTTTCGAAGGCATTCACTGACGTCCCCATGCGTGACCGGGTCGGCTCGCGAATTTTCCCCGCGCATTTCTAGGTACAATGGGAGTATGCCCGGCTGGCTGGAATAAGGAAACTCGTATTGTTCTTCGAGCGGAGCATGCTGAAGACACAGCCGCACGAAAGCCGGATCCGTCCGCGCGAAGTGCGGGAAGTAACGCAGCACTGGTCCACATGAAGCAGCGTAATAAGCAAAGTGTTTTGTGTGTAGCACCCGATCAGACGCGACACAGACGAGTCGTGGATGGTGCTTTGCAAGCTGGAACATTAGATCAAGATTATTCGTCAGACCGAAGGGAGCGATGATTATCCGCGTCGCAAAGCGCCACGAATATCTGTCCAGATGTCAACAATTGCACATTACATAAGAATTTTTATATTGTTGTGTGGGATAGGTCTGAGATTGTGGAGGTGAAACAACCTAACCGGCTGTTTTACTTAGTGCTTTGAGCGTCGCGGGACCTAAACCTTCACCAAAAGGTGAAAGCCAGGCAAGATTTGCCATTACATAAGAATAGCTATATATGACCCAGGGCGCAGGGCTACGGCACCCCCGCAGCGCAGGGGGGCGCACCGGTAGCCCCGGACCCTTTCGGGAGCCGTCTGCCAGGGGCGGAAGGCCTCAAAAGGGGCCCGCGGGTCCGTCTCCGCTCCCTTCCAGCTGCCGGGCTGTAACCTACAGACCTCCGACGAAGGTGGAAGGCTTCAAAAGGGGCCCAAGGGGCCGCCCCCGCTCCCTTCCTGCTGCCTGCCTGTGCCCTACATGCGCCGGATGTGGAAGGCCTGCGAAGGCGGCAAAAGGCGAGGGGCTGGACCCCCTGAGCCGTGCGGCCTGTACCCTCCGGACCCTTGGGCATCGGGTTGCTTGCTCTTGAAGCCGTGGCCTCCTTCGGCGGCCTTTTACCCCGGAGGCCTCCAGCCTGCGAGGGTCAGCAGAGGCCAGGAGGCCCCTGAGGACACGCAGAGAGGCGCAAGGGGACGCCCGCGCCCAGTTTTGACGCCTTCCACCACTAGAATCCGCGAAAATCAGCGCGGAAAAGAGCGCGCGAGCGCCACCACAGACCATACCACAGGGGAGGGCGCCGTGCAGTCCTAGAACATATATATTATAAGTCAACTGCTAACCATAACATCCTTTTCCAGGCTACGTTACAAATACAATCTTCCGCAATCTTCCGGGAAAACATATTGATATGATTCAGACAAGTTATAGCCTAAGAGAAATAGACCTCAAGCAAATCGCGAGGCAACAACAATATGCTCATGCAAAACATTTGCAACAATATCTTTCTTGTTGGATTCGTGCACCGCTCAGGCGACGTGCCACAGAAATAATTGTCGCTGCATACATTATTCATACCAGGTCCTAATCATTGACATTGAGATAATCAGACAAGTTTTGTTTTCCTGTGTATCTATTCAATACATTGCTTTCCCGTGTGGTCCCAAGGGCGCTGGTGTAAGCTGATCATTAAGCCATTTATCCGGATCAACGGGCATGCCTCCCCACCGTGTTAGAGACAAGTCTGCCCATATTCGGCCACATCCGCGGAGAACGAACTGCGCCAACCGGTAGTTGTCGTCATTCAAAAACCGCACATCCTTTTCATCTTCTTCGCAGCCTACTAAATGTGCATCGTGCTCAAGCATCATCGCTCCAAGTGGATCTCTCATAGGGGTTTTGTCAGTAATGTCGCAAAAAAAAGCTAGATCGTCCAGGCTTCGCCTCTCGCCATCCAAGGCAGACCTACAACCACAATCGGGTAGAGCTGTCTTGCTTACATCGTCGGTTACATCCTCTAAAATGTCAAAATACAACCCACCTCGTCCAAACAATTCTATCGCATCGGCCGCATCATCGTCGTCGACCCAGTTGTTCCCACGAAAAGCGGAGAAAATTCCGACTGAGCGTACCCCGCGCGGAACGCATACGTGCTGCAAAGTTGCTGCCTCCCGTATGTCCACTACTAGAAATATGGTGATAGCTGGCACTCGCGTGTTCGCACAGGCCTTCTCTACAGGTAAGTCTGGCGCGTAGATCAGAGTTCGAGAGAAACCGCGTGGCCCTGTCGTAGACCCGCGCCACAGCAGCGCGTCGTCCTCTCCGTCTATGGAGCAAGCTCTGGTCGAACAGGAAGTGATACTCTCGTCCTCAGTGTCTGATGTCTCTTCTTCAGCATCACGCAATGAAAAGCGAAGGTTTAACTCAGGATCGGTAGACAATGAAACCCGCATACACGACACAGGCAGGGCAGCGTTGTATGGGAAGAAGCAGCGCAAGCTCATATAAATCTCTCGGGCGACCTCCCTGCCAGTGCACTCGAAATGCATCAACCGTGTATCTCCTTCCTCGATCTCACGACGCGTGAAGTGAAGTTCCGTTTTGTACATCTGCCTTGCGCATGCCTCAGCAACATTTGTTAGTGCGCCTCTGAATGTATTTTCACTCGTTTTCTCCACACCGCCCGCGCGCCGCTGCTGCCTTGTGTGTCTACCTCTTGGCAACGCACGCCCGTCAACGGAAAACACGCAATTTATATTTGCGGACAACATCTTATGTACTTATAATATACTTCTGCATTTAATGGCTTTTCAGATACTTACTTAATTTCACACAATAAATGATGCGGAAAAAAGAGAACGAAACAAAAAGGGGGCTACTAACCAAAACCAAAGTTATCTACTACGTAGCTGTTTTTTCATTTGTCAACTTCAAGATAACGACTCACAAAAGAAAAACGAAATTCGTTATAGAAAATATCAAAAAATCAGAAGACTCGATGGTCGGCAAGCAGCATCATGAAGAATTAAATGGAAATCTGGGCTATTTCTGCTCTACACAAGTTCCTAAAATATTATATAGCTAAAAAAAAATTC